GCAGAACAAAGCTGGCAGCTCTTTAAGGACATCCTTCTGAGAACACAAGAGCTCTCCATTCCCCAGCAGAAGTTGAGCAGGGGAGGCAGGCAACCAGCATGGCTGAGCAAGGAACTGCAGCTTAAACAGAGAAAAAGCGAAAAGCGCAGGAAATGGAAGCAGGGTTGTGTAGCCTGGGAAGAATATAGGGACGTTGTCTGCACATGTAAAAATAAGATTAGGAAAGCCAAGGCACAGATAGAGCTGAAATTGGCAAGGGATATGAAAAATAACAAGAAGGGGTTCTATGGGTACATAGGCAGGAGGAGGCAGGCCAAAGAGAGCATTCCCCCTCTGATAAATGAGGACAGATATCTGGCTTCCTCTGCCATGGAAAAAGCTGAGGTGCTCAGTAAGTGCTTTGCCTTGGTCTTCACTGATGTTCAGGCTCCTCCCCATGACTGCCAGGACCCTGAAGCCCTAGGTGTGGGTGAGAGGAGTGGATTCCATCCCACTATAACAGTGGAACAAGTCTAAGACCTCCTCATGAAACTGAATGTATGTAATTCCATGGGGCCACATATCCATCCTAGGGTTCTGAGAGGTGGTTGATGTGATTGCTGAGCCACTCTCTACCATATTTGTAAAATCACGGCTGTCTGGTGAAGTCCCCTGTGACTGGAAAAAGGGAAACATTACAACTATTTTTAAGAAAGGTCAAAAGGATGACCTGGGGAACTACAGGCTGGTAAGCCTCACTTCTGTGTCTGGGTAGATCATGGAGTAGATCCTCCTAGAAGCTATGTTAAGGCACATATGAGATAAAGAGATGATTTGAGACAGCCAGCATGGTTTCACCAAGGGCAGATTGTGCCTGACCAATCTGGTGGTCTTCTATGATGGAGTGATGGCATCAGTGGACAGGGGAAGGGCAATGGATGTCATCTGTTAGGACTTCTGCAAAGCCTTTGATGTGGTCCCTCACCATATTCTTCTCTCTAAATTGGAGAAGTATGGATTTCAAGGATGGATTGTTCGGCTCTTGTGAGGCCCCATCTGGAGCACTACACCCAAGCTTGGAGTACAAGAAAAATGCAGAGGTCTTGGAATGGGTCCAGAGGAGGGCCACTAAGATGATCAGAGGGCTGGAGCACCTCTCCTATGAAGAAAGATTGAGGGAACTGGGCTTGTTTAGCTTGCAGAAAAGAAGGTTCTGGGGAGACCTCATTGTGGCTTTCCAATGCTTGAAAGGAAGATATAAACAGGAGGGGGAACAGCTGTATATGAGAGTGGATAGTGACAGGACAAGGGGGAATGGTTTTAAACTGAGATAGGGGAGGTTTAGGTTGGATATTAGGAAGAAGTTTTCACACAGAGAGGGGTGATGCACTGTTCACAGATGGCCCAAGGAGGTTGTGGATGCCCCATCCCTGGAGGCATTCAAGGCCAGACTGGATGTGGCTCTGGGCAGCCTGGTCTGCTGGTTGGCAATCCTGCACATAGCAGGGGGGTTGAAACTTTGAGGTCCTTTTCAATCCAGGCCATTCTATGATTCTGTGATCCCTGCAGGCCCTGGCAACATTCCTACATTCTTCCCAGGTGGACAGGCCCTTTTTCCACATTTCATGGACCTTTTTCTTTCCTTTCAGTTTATCCATGACTTCTTTGTTCATCCACACAGGCCTCTTGCCGCTTTCCCTGATTTCTTACTCTTAGGGATGCACCAATCTTGAGCTTGGAAGAAGTGGTGTTCAAGCGCCAGCTCTCATGAGCCTCCTTACCTTCTAACACTCCAATCCATACGATACCTCCAAACAGGTCTTTGAAGAAGTCAAAGTTGATTCTCTTGAAGTCCAGGGTAGAAGCAATTCTACTTATTGCATTGTTTCTTCCACACAAAATCTTGAAATCCACCATCTCATCATCACTGCATCCCAACCTTCCCCCAGTCTTCACATCCCTGACAAGCCCTTCCTTGTTAGTAAAAGCAAGGTCAATTAGCACACCCCTCCTTTTTGGGTCCTCCACCACGTGTGTCAGAAAGTTATCTTCAGCATACTGCAGAAACCACCTGGGCCTTGCGTGCCAGGCCATGTTTCTTATCCAATAAATATCAGGATGGTTGTAAAGCTGAGAGTAAAGGGAGCTCTATAAACAGGTCTGTAATAGCACTTTTTGGAGATGAGCTTTGTGGCTCTGATGGGTTCAGTGAAGGGATGAAGAGCTCAGCCAAGGGATAGTCACTGGGTGCAAGTTAACACAACAGTGAGTTAAAATGCTTTGAACATCTATGGCCCCATCTTTCCTTCAAGAGGAAGACAATAATGTAGTCATTTGAGAGCTGAAATGCTTTAATTCAGCTGAAGTCTTTGGGCATTAGCTGCGGTTTGTGACATCCAGCAGAACATACACAACCATTGCCATGTCTGGGAACAGGGAGACATGGCTCATAATTGATGGATATGCCAGTTAACCAAAAATTCCCTCTATCTGAGCAAGGCTGAGGAAATCCACCAGACAAGTCTGCTGCCTGTATCTGTTAGGATGCAGTGGCCTCTTTGAAACATCACCACTCACGACCCACCACTCACTACCAACCTTGCATGGGAAACCTGGCCACGTTGTCTCCCTGTATATAGGAAATCAGACATTGCTACAGGGAGACCAAGCTGCCCCATGCTGGGGATTTCCTGCAGAGGAATGTGTCTGTGAGTACTTAACACTCCATCTTAAAAAAAAAAAAAATTGTTTAAATTGACTGAATCTGAAGAAACAATAAGAAAGAGGCATTTTGATAGACTGTCATGAAATTGGGAATGATGGGAGCACTTAGCATTTGAGACTCACCATGATTCAAGTTTGATCAGAATTCTGGCCTTAAAATCTCTGAATCTGTGATTACCAGGTATTCTGAGGTCTAACAATGACCAAAACTGTAGGATGGCTGAATGGCTAGGGTCAGAGGTAGCTTTGCCTTTCTGCCATTTGCAGTACTTAGGTCTGCTTCTGACGTCAGGCATCATTACTCTCTGAAGCATCCCTATTTGTGAGGCAGCTACAGAGACAATTTAGTGTTATGTCAAAGATGTCTCCTTTTCTGTTTTCTGCATGCCACATGCTTTTCAGGAAGGTTATACATTTGGCTTTTCAGTGGTTCAGTAGCATTCAGAATTGAAGAAGGGAAAGGAAGTGCAAATTTTAGTGTGCTTTAAGCGGCTTTGAAACAAGGGACAGAAAGAGCGAAGACTAAAAGAGCATATCCAAGCAGACAGGTAAACCTGCAAGCTGCCCCTTCACCCTTGCAAGGACACAACTGACTTTATTCCCACATCCTTCTCTGTGCACTAAGGCAGAGTTTGGATAGACAACAACTGGTTGGATAGAGTCCCATAAGCCATCAAATGGGTCTAGCAATGGTGCTCCCCACTGCCATGGTGGCAGCTTCTAAGGGTACTGACCACCCAGTGGGATACTGTTGTGTGTGGTTCAGCATCAAAGAATAAATGTTTCTCCTTTAAGAACCTATTCCTGGAGGACACCTGGATGGAAGCTGAAAAGCAAATATGAAAAATATAACTAGTTCCTCTGTTTTGCTTCTTTTCATCTAGGTTTTCCAACACTGCAATATCAAACTTTGCTTCAGCTTGGACTTCAGTTGCTTTTGAGCTAGACCAAACCAGTACTAAACTCCTTGACAAGTTTATTCCAGGGCCATGTGGAATGGCTACCTTTCTCCTTGGGAAAAAGGAATTCAAGTGTAGAAGACCTGCTCACATATGTGCTCACCACTCAGTGATGGAAACCTACACGTTCAGAGCTGATTGGAGCAGACACAGTAACATTGAGTTTTATACTTGATTACTTCAGAAAAGTAGAAAATAATCAATGAATCCAGCTGGTGCCATAAAATATATTTTGAAGATGTTTTAAAAAATAATTTAAGTCTTAACATTCTTGGTCACTTAAAATACTCCATTAGGAATAGCCAAAAGCAGCATTAAACTACTATGTTCAGTTGCCTGTGAATGCAGGATTTTTGTGAAATTAGAGGATTTAAGGAAGAGGCAGAATTGTAGTTCTTTAATGGATGCATGGTTAAAATTCTGCCTGTGGAAAGTAGTATTTTTTGTTTTTATTGCTGTAGTACATAGAAGTGCTAAACTTGTGACATTTGATTTAGGAGGGCAAGGTAAATTCAAACTTAGTATAAATGATTTTTTTGGTTAATTACTAAGCAATTTTAAAATGGATTTCCCAGAAACATTGTTTAGTAGAAGTACTTAGTAGTACTTGAACCTGACAGGTAGTATTTTCGACACAGTTACACTTGTTTTCTATTATTTTAGGAATTCAAATCATATTCCCTGTTGATTCAGGGAATGAACACATCTGTATTTATATACTTCCCTAGGCCTGCTGCTGCATTTCTACACTTGTTCTGCCAAAGAAAAGTATAGAGCTGACTAGAACTCATCCTGCTTTCAAACAAACTGTTTACTTTAAATCAGTTTTTATAGCAGTGGTGATTTAACTGCAAATGGGAAATGTCAGCATAGTTTTCTTATTAACACTCTATCATGGAATATGCTTCAATTATTTCCCCTCCTTCTCTGCATTTGCCAGAGAAAGCAGCTAAGCCACCTGCTGCTTTTACCGTGACTGCTCCATTGCCTGGGAGGAGGAAAAAGCTGCTCCTGATGTGGTGGCCTGTGCCAGCACACAGACACAAGGCACTGGTCACTCTAACATGGCCAATAGTCTATTTTGGGGGCACATCATTTCCTGCAGCAGCATCAATCTCTTGTCATGAGCTCTTCCACCAGCCGCAACCAGGGCTTCAGAAAGCTGCAGGGTAAGAAAGCAGGGTGGCAGAGATCCAGAATGCCTCCTTTGCGTTTTGTCCACATCAGGAGACATGGTTAGACTTACAGCAAGCCATCCAACGTGGAAAGCACAGCTGCTAGAACTCAGTGGCTTTGACTAGAGATATCAAGCAAAGTAACCACTCATCACAGACCCTGGAAAATTCATTTAAATTCCATTTCAGTAATTATTACAGAACACCACTAGATCTTCCTTTATTACTTTATTTTTTGCAAGATAGAAGCCAGTGGCTTTCATACTAAACTAAAATTCAATCCATCATAAAAAAAATTAATCATAAATCTAGACTATGTTTAGCAGTGAACAGCAACAGTTATAAATTAGACCTCACAGTCTCTGCAAGACTCATGGCAGACTCTATGCAGCCATCAAAGTTGGAACAAGTAAATCCATCGCCCCCACAAATCAGGAGAGGTTGAGTATGAAGAATCATTTGTCCTGAACAATTGGGCACTGCTTTTGTAACCTGAAAAAGAAAAGAAACAGGGAGATACAAAAGAAAGTATATTATTTACCTGGATTCAATGTCAGAAAGATCAGTACTACCTAGAAAAATGTCTTCATATGAAATGCTCTTTCCATCCCAGATTTTAGATTCTAATATTAACCATCAAATAGTACAATATTTATCTTGAGGAGTTAAGTAATTAGAATAATGCTCTCCTGCATATGGAAGGCAGAAATTTTACTGCCCTGTCCAGTCTTATTCTCAGTCTGTTTCAGCAGAAATAAAGCCTGATCCTGGATAGTTCATGATGGACAGTTCAACCCAAAAGCCTTCACATGAAAATGGTTTCTTTTGTTTCAAAATCTTCCCATCACAAAATGTGTAAAAAATTAGGAGTTCAGGAGGTAAACACTCTGAAATGGGACATGACAAAACATCAAACAGTAAAGAAGTTCATGGCTTGAACACACAGAAATCAATACAGAAACTTTGAAGGATTCAACTACTGTGCTCCATAGTTGTTGGCTTTATTTGCTTCCTTCATCATCTGAGACTACAGCTGAGGCAAAGCATTTAAATGTTAATAGAGCAAAGACATTTAATCCAAATAAACCAAGTCCTCTGCCCTCTGACTCACAAAGAGAGCAGGCACGGGAACTGTGCACCAACACCACTATGCTGGAAATCTGGCCAAGCACGTGTGCTAGATCTCATGGTCTTACAAGATCTAAACATAGATTAGAAAAGCCATTGGCTTTTTATGTTATCCTGTCTATTCTCTTAAATTAGGATCACTGTGATGCCACACTGACTTAATGGACAGAAGTTGAGCAGCACAGCCCCAGAGGAACCAAAAGATTCACATGGACCAGCTCTGCGCCTCTTTTCCTTGTATATGTCCCCTCTGTTGGCTTCTCTGAGAGCCAGAGAGTGGGATAGCATGGCAGGAGAAGGAAAACACTGACTGTCCACATTGTACCAAGCCAGTACATTCCAGAGTAGCACTGGTGTATGTCAGAACAGAGATAAGGTAGCAGGAGCAGCAATGGTAAGCATGATGGCAAAGAAGGTCCACGTAAAATGAAAAAGAGAAGAGTGAGACAATGCAGCACAGATTGATGATGTAGTTATGAGAGAAGAAACACTGGAAGAGATGTTCTGGTAAAAGGAATGACGAAATATGACCCAAGGATGAAATGCTGAAATAGAAGAAAAAACATCAAGAGTGACAAAGAGAGAGGAAAAAAAGCAGCACAACGATGGAGCATAAACAGAGATCAAACCACAGAGATTATAAGGCATGATATGGAGAATGTAATTTTCTTTCCATATTCCCTTGATTTTCTGCCTTGCTTTTGGTCCAAAGATACGTTTTGGGTTCCTGTGCAGTAAACTGTTACTGAGCTCTATTGTGGCAGTGTCAGCTCCAGTGAACAAGATCAAGACCCAAGGCAACTTGCCGAGTCCAGGGGATTCTTCCAGTGACTCAGATGTAGCTCACCGTTGGCAAGAAGAAGGCCCACGGTTATAGAGCAGCCACAGAAATCAATGCACTACCAAAAATAATCCTCACTACAAAAGCAGTAAGCATGCACACATATATATATATGTAGAGGCAAAAAGTGAGACGCAATGCACAGGTGTATGTAGTGAAGTCTAACAAAAAAAATCCCAGTCATATGCATTTAGAACAGGTATTGTCCAAAATTACTTTCAGCTACATAGCCCAGCCTGCCGGATCTCCAACCTTGGAAGACTTAGTGACTTTTACAAGGGTGGATAGTGATAGGACAAGGGGGAATGGTTTTAAACTGAGATAGGGGAGGTTTAGGTTGGATATTAGGAAGAAGTTTTCACACAGAGAGGGGTGATGCACTCTTCACAGGTTGCCCAAGGAGGTTGTGGATGCCCCATCCCTGGAAGCATTCAAGGCCAGGCTGGATGTGGCTCTGGGCAGCCTGGTCTGCTGGTTGGTGACCCTGCACATAGCAGGGGGTTGGAACGAGATAGTCATTGTGTTCCTTTTCAATTCAGGCCATTCTATGATTCCATGAAGACTTTAATACTCAGCAGGAAAAACCCATGGTGGAATTGATCTAGAATTGGCAATGGTTATGCTTTAAGCAAAAGGCTGAACTAGAGACCTGAAGAAGTCTTTCTGTGGTCCAATTTCTATGATTCTATGTTTTGCCAAAATCCCTTGCACATGTAAAGTGCCTCTGTACAAGGGATGGTTTGGGATGCTCGTGGCTCTGAACGCTAATAGTGTCTTATCATAATTAAAGCAGGGGATCCAGAATTGCATCTGCACTGATCAGTAGTGTAAGTAGAAGTTTGGAAGTCCTAATCCCTCATCTGCCATGGATAATTGTAATGTCTGCATTTTAATCCCAGGATTGTGTTTGGCCATGTGAAGGACACTACAGACGGATTTAATTAACAAGCAGGATAAATCCTGTCTAAAAGAGTCAGGGGAAAGATGCACCAATCTTATCAGTTTCCCTTGCTTCAAAGACAACAGGTTATTATAAATGAAAGTAAAGACAGCTTTATGATAAAGGGGGAACTCTGTTCCAGATATTTAATTCCGGTAGTGATTATTTTACAGGGTGCACACCTGGCAATAGAGATCTCTTACTGAGGTAACTGATCTGACCTATGCTAACTTATTCGCAATTACATATTTACATTCACCCACTGAATTAAAGATTAGTGATAATTCTTCCTGTGACACAGACATAAAACTCAAGCAACCACTGGAACTGGTGATTTTAGTTGGTAGCAGCAGATTAGGTAGCACGCAAGAGAGGCAGAAGATAGTGGGAAGAGCTGTAAGTTGTACAGTGGCATGGTGTTCGAGAAAAGTTCAATGTCATGAACATCAGCATTATCTTCTGAACAAACATTGTTCCTGCAATCTGGTGGAAATGTGGCTGAACATAGTGTTAAAGTTATTGCAGCTAAGAGAAAAAAGAATCCCAGGGGCAGAATTGCATAGTTCAGCTGCATGCTGTTTCTCTTCACGGTAAGTGTGGATGAAGTGACAGATTTCTGGTAGCAACTGTTTTACCAGCATAGCCTCATCTAATTTTGTTTAGAAATACTTCTTACTTTGTTTTGGGAGCCCTTTCCAGACTTGATCAACCAAGCACTTGACCAAAATCTCCGTAACACCTCCAGCGTTTGTGCTCACATGCAGTTTGAAGGAAAAAGGTAATGCAGAAGAAAAGAAGACAGAATCAGAAAAGGGTGAATTAACAATGGCAACTGTACAGACATGCCATAACTAACAAAAAAAACCCCTGAACCAATGAACAGGAACACACAGAACACATGATATGAAGCATCTAACACATAAATGCATATGTTAATGCCATTTTCATATGACAACAAACACTGTGCACTGGAAAGTGACTTGCAGACTACCAATAACTAATTCACAGAAAAATAAACTTTGTCCTAATGAGACCAGATTCTCGCCGCTGGATGCTAATCAAGGGGTACAAGCAGACTTCACAGACATCATCCACAGTAACTTTTCCAGACTTCATAAAAGGAGAAATTTTTAGGGGACTGCCTTAAGTAAATATTTTGCATTGACTTCCACATTCAGTTTCACCAATGTAATTTAAGAGGCTTTGGGTAAACACGTAGATATACACCAATCCTTGAGGAAATTGCCAACAATTTCCTTGGATTTTTAAGAGACGTCTGTAAAATATACACATTTTACTACTCTTAGGTAGTTTACATTAAAATACTTTTTGCATAACATACTGTTAAATTGAAGCAGGCCAAATCAAATAGTAACAATTAGTATATCCAAACACAAGAACTCTCACTATTCTGTGGTAGGGTAGGAGTTTTGCTAATAAAGCCACATGCTTTCAGAGGCAGAAGAGACAGAGTTAGTCATATTTTTAAATACGAAAAAAATCTCAGCAAAGTATGTGGGATTTACTTCCTTCCTGTGCACTGCTCCTATTCCTTCTTATGAGGATTGTTGCATAACTTAACACTAAGCCAGGTCTACTACATGAAAACATGACTAGAAGTGATCTGGCTATAGCTAGCCAGCCATGAACACTGCTCGTGGCCACTTGGAGGAGGGCATTATGGGTATTGCATGGATATCTCTTCCTTCTCCTGGCTCTGAGGATGAACACCACCGGGCTGCATGATGTCCTTTTTCTCAGGATACCCACTGTGCCTGTTCCACAACAACACTCTCCCAGCTGCTTGATCAACCATGGGTTACCTGTGAGTATCTCCACTTGTGACACTTTACACTAGCTGCTTTGGGCAGGGAGGGCACAAGATTCTCCAGGTGGCTGAGAATTAGCTGCTGCACCTCTGCAGGATGTGAATCCAGATGCTCTTTTCCAAACGCCACCGTTGTATGAACTACAACAGAGGGTCCAATTTCAGGTGACTCTGAAATGAAGAAGAGAGATGCTTCTAAAAGATTACTCATTACTCATTACTCAGGGAATTTGCATTCCCTCAATACTGCCCATTGTGTCTCTCTCTAGCCTAGAATTAAATATGTATCTGCAGCACCACCCTGTTCCTCCAGTGGGAGAAACACAAGAAACAATACAAGTTATTTACAAGAAGTGTAGTAGAGAAATCAATACTTTTTTCAATATTTGTAATGGCTTTCCCATTGCAATACCTCTACTTTTCTCCTAGAAGAACCCCAAGGCAAAGGACAAAAGAAGGAATAGTGTTTGCAGAGTTTGCAGTGAAAAACATCTGCTTACTCTATAATTGATTGCATATTAGCCATGCAATACTACCTACATAATTGACACTAGAATAAAACCAATACTTTACTTTTGTGCAGGAGAAGGGAAACAGAAGCCAGGGCAGGTTGGCTTGATAAATCATTATCTTGATCTACACAAGTGAACTCAACTTGAGTTTTGCTATTCTAGTGACTTCCAGGACATCAACATGGGGTTGTCTACATACAGGTTTTGAAGAGTGTTAAGCTTCATGCAATCTGTGTGTAGCGAAAATGCTCAGTCACAGCCCGAAGCAGTGATTGAGCATCTGGTGGGAAGGCAGGGCCAACCCAGGGGAGCTCAGGTACATGCAATGGACCTGAGTCACTGGAAGGGATGGAGTGAGGATCCACACCAAGACCTCATTGAAGGGTTGGCAGTGGATACAAAGGTATCTCTCTGGAGATCCCTTCCTACTTGCAGACCTCTCAGAGGTAAGCAGCTTACATCCTTTATTTCTGTGCCCACGGCTGTTGCATTTGAGCAAATGTTTGCTGCAGCCTAAGACATTGCTACTCCCTCCCTTAGAAGCAAAGTCTTTTCAGGCTAAACCTCTGTTTGAACTATCAAATTCCTAGAAAAATATTTCATTTGCAGAAAATGAGCATTTTCTGACCAGATAATCCATGCAGAAAGAGGGAATTGAATGCTTTCCAACCATAGAAACCAACCTGATAGAAATCTTTACATCTTCATTGTCACTGAGGATACATAAGGCTCCTCCTTTGAGAAGCCAACATATTCCACCTTTCAGAAGCAACCTAAACTTCATTTCCTGATAAACTTTCTGCTTATTTGCTGATCTCTTCAGATTACACAACTAAGACACATCAGGGCCTAGTCCACGCACTCACAGAAAACATGAAATGATGGTTTTCACTTCAACTTGGATGATCCTTACACTCAGTCTCTTTCTTAAGTGGCTCAGTCAACTTCTACTAAATGTGGGTGGAAAAAAAGTGCATGATCTACAACCAGCGTGGATATCGGATGGAGGTAAGGCAGATCTGGTGTGAAGACAGTTGAGTGAAACAAGACCTAGAAGCAGAGACTCAACCAAAGAGGCCATCTTCTTCCCCGGTGAACTGGCTGCCTGAGGGTAACCTTCAGTCTCACCTTCCTGAGATTTCCCATCCCTCCACTGGTTTCACGAACTAGCACAGGCCGTTACCTCTGTTCACATCAGGTTTTCCAAATGTCTGCAAAATTCATGGGAACGCCACTCAGTCTGTCCTTCCCACTTTGAGGTGGAAAACAGGTATTCCAAGCCTGTTGTCTGTATGTATTGCCAGGGATAGATAACAAAGTAGGGAAGCGGATTTTTTTTTTCATACGTGTGATCTGGCAAATTCTTCCACATAAACTTGGTAAAAAGGCTCATTAACAACTAAGCATTTTATTACCATAAATACTCATTGCTTGCTGTGACTTGCTGTAGCCAATGATTCTTGGACAGGGCCTGCTTCTTCCAGATCTCACATCTCTTCCATAGCATGTACAAAGCAAGTTTCAGAAGAACAGGCAGTTCAAGTCTTTAATTCCTCCTTAGAGCTACTCATAGCTTGGAGAGCTTCCAGAGACCACTGAGTCACAGCCTTCCAGTACTGAAATACGCAGACTGCAGGGATCAAATTTAGCTTCAAGTCTTTTTTTTTTTTCCTACAAAAATATTGGCTAACGGAGGAGTTTAAAATAGATTTTTCCCTGAAAGCAATGGGGGTATCTCAGCCTCAGTGCTTTAAAGCTCTTGCACCAGGTATGAATGACTGCAAGTTCAGCTGCAGCAAGAGCAAGCCTGGTATTTTCTTCCCAGTGTGTTTAGATCAGGCTGTAATGGTTAGTTTAAAAACTAAAAACTTGGCAGGGCTTCTCATGAGATTTTCATTTCCTTTATTTGTGGTGAGATGTGAACACTCTATGGCCGTGATGGTAGATGACAAAGCATCATGGGAGATGCAGCAAGCCAGGGAATGCTCGGCAAAGTGTGGGTAATGATGTGAAGGCAAATGGAGGCAGCAAAAAGCTTTCATCTGCTCCCAGTTCTCCCTCCTCTCATCCCAGCTGCACAGCAATTAATCCAATCAGTTGATGTGGTGGAAGGGGTAGATCAGAGCTCAGATGAGACAGCAGAGTTGGCTGCAGCTTTTATAAATACATCATTAGCCAGCAGCCATTCTGCCAGTGTTGGCAGAGTACCCCCTCCAATCCACAGTCACTGAGGGATCCCATGGAAACTTGGGAGCAGCATGCTTCTGCCTGGTGTTTTAGTCCTTCCAGCCCATGCTACACCAAAGCTGCACTGATGTCATGCCTCCCCCGGAGTGCTGGCATCCGGACTTGTGCCCTATGTTCAACCTCTCCTTGGTGGCATATAGAAGATGCAGGCCTAAAAATGTAGGTTTTCTTTGTTTCAGTGTTTTCTTCATTTTAGAGTGAATTTCTTTTTCATCAAACAGAATCAACATCAGCACATGAAAAGCGAAGAACATGAGGATTTTCAAGACTCAGTGTGCATCCATGTAAACAGAAAGGAACTGTGTGATCTTTGGCATATTTTCCCCATCCAGCCCCACATCCTGCCTGTGGCAGTGGTGTTGTCACAGCAGTGGCTACATGCCCGCTTTGGGGACCTCGAAGATGCTGGAGTTGCTATTTCATGAGGATGAGTAGATGGGCAGAGCCAGGCTTTGATGTGAGATCCAGATTTAACAAAACCTTCCTCCCAGAGACATCTTTGCCACCACCATGTCTTGGCCACAATCACTAACTACCTGAGTTATTCTGAGCAGCCTGAAGGGCTGAAAGGAGCGGTAGGAAGGATGTGAACAATTTGTTTCTTTTTTTCAAAGTAGGAAGTTCCACCATTCCCTCCCAGACAAGTTAAAAATATTAGGGTCTCTACACCCAAGAAACAAGTGATAGGACAAGAGCAAATTGTCTCAAGTAGTGCCAGGGAAGGCTAAAGTTGGATATCAGGAAAAATTTCTTCTCTACAAGGGTTGTGAAGTACTGGAACAGGCTTCTCAGGGAAGCAGTGAGGTCACCAACTCCACAGGTTTTTAAAAGACACGTAGATGTGGAGATTAGGGACGTGGTTTAGTGGTAGGCTTGGCAGTGCTGGATTAACAGCCGGGCCTTAGAGGTCTTTTCTAACTGAAACAACTCTATGATTCTATGATCAAACTCCAGCTGCACTATCAGCCTGACTAGAACTTCTTAGTAAGTCTGAAACTAAATCCAAGGAAAGGGAAAAGGGGAAAAGAAAAGGGTTGAAAAATAGAAGCTAGGAATTAAAAAGTGAGGATCTAAGTGCATCTTCCATATCCTAAAGGGCTGAAGACAGAGCCAAACTATTTATAGAAGTTCAAAGTGAAAGGACTTGAGAGAACATACGCAGTATTAAGCCTGCTAGGATTATAATCGTCCAGAAAAAAGGACGGAGCTAATAAAAGTTACTCTGAAAAAGACCAGGAAAAACAGAGCCAGCACTTTGGCTTGTCACTCAGGAACATCTGGTGTCAGAAAGGTGGCTTCTACATTTGGATAACACATTTAATGCAGAATATAAGATGGAAAAGTACAGTGTCCTGGGTGAAGCAAAGTTGCTAGGGCTAGAAGCATGGTTGCACTATTACGATAATAAAGACTTATGACCATTCCTTGCACTCATTCTTTACAGCAGCGTAGTGGCAATATGAACAGCCCATGTTGCCAAGTCCTCCCACAGAGACCTTGTTCTGCCCTGGTAAGCCTAGAGTACCCAATTCACCATGGTAAGCCCACGTGTAAACTCTGCTCCCATTGTGGCCACATCCTCCTTACCACTAGTCTTAGGGAAGGAAGGGAATAGACAGTTTAAGTGTTTGCAGAACCAAAAAACTCATGAACACCCCAATAAAAGTACAGCATACCACTTGTCAGAGAAAGCCCAGTGTGAACTGTCTGCTCATCAAAATGTTCTCTCTTGCAAAATGCAAAAGCTGCTTTTGTATGGTACAGTTGAAGAATCTATCCCAAGGTCAGGGTTCAGAGTCTCTGAACCAAAAAAAAAATTGTAGAGATTTAAATGGTGCAATTAGCTTGATCCCTGGAATCCACAAAGGCCTGAAGCTGAATGTTTCTTTAGCAAAGAGAATTCCATCAGTGCCTGAGACCTTTAGTATTCATTTGGCAAGTGGTCAGTACGGTATCCATAGGATTCTGGGAGCATGATGTGTTGACAGGCTCCTATAGGAATTGTGTCAAGAATTTCTCTCATTCCTGTCCAGTGGTGCAAAACCTGGAGTCAGAATAGATGCCAATGAAAAAAAATAACACTTGGTTGCTCCCTACCCCTAAGGAAGTTTTACTCTGAACTGGGAGTTGTGCTTTGCTGTCCAAAACCCATTCTGATTCTGGATAACATGAGAGGAAGGAAAAGGGTTTTATCACTTCCATGTCAAACAAACCCTAAAAGCAGGGCTGAGAGGAAAGTGCATAGAAATACTGCTGGACAGTGCAGAGAGCCTCATAAAACTAGGGGGAAAAAAATAAAATATATATATATATATATAAAAGAATAATGAATAACTTCAGCAATCCTAGAAAATAAGCATGGGAGGATTCACTTTCAAAAATTATTTTAAAATTAGAAAAAGATACTCAAATTACACTGATCTTGAAAACCTGCAAAATAAACCTTCCCTCTAAATTATATAACGTCACAATCCTCACGTAAAAGAAGAGTACTGCTTCGATTTTTGTGCGTCATCTATCTTTAATCCTCTGGAATACAAAGAACTGCAAAGACTGCAGTATTTCAGAAATGAGGCTTGAAATACCGAAGGATTACCACTGTCCCCCCCCACCCGACCAGTTTTAAATATTGATGGAGTATTTAAGGCAGCCAATCAGACAAATATTTAATATTCATACACAGTGCGCAGGGAATTCAACATACATTTTTGTAGGCTCTTTCTTATGTAACTTTTGAGCATATTACCTCTATAGATGGAGATGTACTTCACTGCAACACTGCATATGGGAAAGCTGTCCTTACGGCAGCATTCAGCCCTAGGAGCAAAGGCTGATACTTCTGGAGAATGATAGACAGACCCGCCTCTCTGCCATTTCTAATTCGTACCAACAAACTGATCCTGTTGTGTAATTACAACAATGCTGAGAACACACACCTGATAAGTACTGCAGCCACATCCGATGGGCAGAAAAGCAAATTTCCCTCTTAAGACTGAAGCAATGAAGGAGGGATGCACTGCATACAATGTATATAGGAGAGTGTATACAGCCTAGAGGAGGGGAGGTGGAAGTAGGGAGCATTCAGGCATTAATATGCTGGCTCTCTGGAAAGGATCAGTCCTGATAGGTTTCAGCTGCTTCTTCACCCAGGGAACTGAACACTAACATAAATTTTAGCCTGAACATTTCTGCTTTCTCTCTCTGATCACTGACACTTTCATTGTCACCCATCTTCCTCCGATGAATCAAGATCAGTCAAGGTTGAAGAATGGAGTAAAGATGAATGTCTGGTCAGCTGTGTGACCAGAAGGACTGGAGCCTGGACTTCATTTAAGGGCTGACTGACACTGAGGAAGGATCTCTCTTTCGAGATTGCTCCTCCTGGAGTTTTTCCTGTGAGCCCAGGACACAGATAAGCTTTTCCATTCATTTCTGATGATCCCTTTCCAACATGATAATCTTTTCAGCTATATGCTCTCTAAAGACCAGCCTAGGTTCTCTGTATACTTGTCAATTCAACATCTGTATACTGGTTGATTACACACCTTTGACCTAAGCTCAAATCTGCAAAATGCAAGTTCACCAAGAAAGACAGTACAGCTAAGACATATGGTTGACTGTTTATATATCACAAGGAGGGCCTCATGGGACAGAAATCATCTTCAGTTGCTGGAAAAAAACGACTTGTGTAAACAGATCTCTCTCATGATAGGAAATCTCAGTGAGAAAGGTTTGTGTCACACAGATGTTCTAGTAGTTAGCTGTTAACAATATGCCCCAACAAATACTTTGCTTGCTCTTTGGATGAATTTCCTTTGGAACTACCAGACACAGTAACTGCTGATTTGATAACTTGATTTTTGTTACATATTCATTGCTCTCATTGTTGGTGCTTCAAATCCACATGAGTGATCAGAAAAGGAAAGGATGGGTGAGTTCCTCACCTGGGCTGTGTCTTCTGCTCCACCAGAATCAGGTGGCTGGGAGAGAAACACCAGTAGGTGCTATTAACCACCAGGTAACTCATCCTTAAACTCAACAGCGAAGATGTTGCATGCAGGAAAACATCCAGCTGCACTTTGTCAGCAACAAGAAGACAATGACAGAGGAAGAAAATCACTCTGTATCTGTTTTTTTTTAATATTCTTTCTTATGCACTTGCTATTGGCTCTTGCAGGAAGAAGCCCACCAGCATATTATTTGTCAGCCATTTTTTTTTCTTTTAAGAATTTAGCCTATTCATACAACTACACTAAATTATTTGCACGAATAATGAAATTGGGCTTGCACAGCAGTGAGTTTGTTCATCAACATTGCTCTCAGCATAAACTGGTGAGGGTGTTTTGATGTAAGAGCAAAGTTTGCAATGCCCAGTGTGAGTAACATCGCTGGTGTTTATGGACTGCTGGCAGGAAATGATGAATCCCGCTTGAACAAGACAGACTGTGTACAGGAGTCTCCTACATCTAAATCTGAACATGTTTTAGCACAGTGAATGTCATGATGTGTAATAACTACCTCTTGAATTTTTATATGATGAGAATCCTTCCTTGCTCTGTAGCAGTGTGTCACCATGCTTATTATGGCACCCTAAAGGTGTGCAGATTTTCATTCTCCCTTCACCAACATGGCTAAACTCAGTCATCATTTCAATGTGAGCAAGCAATAGAGTTGGGAAGTATTTTCAGTTCCCAACTTGCTTGATTGCTAGCAGTTATTCTAGAGATACTCTATGCCAATATATTTCCCAGACCTCTTGGTATATGGAATATATTTAATAAATAAAACATATAGCTATTTCATTGCTATCTTCCAGAAACAGATGAGTAGCGTCTACCTAGTGGGATGTTCTCCAAGCTTTACTGAGCAGCTGTACAACATGCAGCCATTTGAAGGATTTTTCCATGATTATGAAAGCAAACTAGCGAACTCTGAATTAGACTAGGCAGCCTCAATTATATAACTTGTTACTACTTCCAAGTGTAGTTAGTGGAAAGAACAGGAGTTGAAAAGTAATGGATGACGGGAGATAAATTGGCATGGTTATGAATCAATGTTTAAACAAAGGAACTCAAACACTTTCTTGGAATAGCAACATTTTGATGCTTCAAATCCCCTGACACTGGTTTCATAAATGCAGTAATGTAAACCATGTGTTGGGTGGTGATTTTCTGAGGACCTTCCCGCTTTCATTGTGTATTTTATTACAGGCTAAATGTGACATTAAATGCTATCTACCATGGCTTAGAGTTAAATACTTGCTCCGTTCAGAATATCAACACTCAATTAAACAGCATTTTTCATGATCTACTCCCTCTATTGTCACTGTGTTTAAGAGAAATAATGGGAGCACTGACCTACATTGCGTTTCTTATTATCGATGGAGATGAAGCGTATGCAGGGATTATCGGTGATGTACTTTGCAGCCCAGGGGACATCAATCCGTGCACCGACTTCATAAAAAAGTCCCAGAGCATAGCGGGAGGAGTAGCTTGCTGATTCCAGTTGCTGCTTTTGCCTTTCATTAATTACTGTGGGGGAAAAAAAAATGCAAAAAACCCGAGACAATTCAGACTGTCCTTTTTCTCTCAGAACATTAAATACACGAATTCTGTAGTTAAGCTGATTACTCCTTCCTGAAAACAACCAGACTGCTAAAACTAAGAATCTAATACTAACCCTAGTGCTTTGTAATATTTTTCTGGGACACCTCTTCATGAAGTCTTAATGGCACATTATGCAGAGTACGTCCTTCATGTGCAACCCTCCCCATCTGTGGGCTGTTTATCTTCTAGATAACATTGCGAGACTTTGATGCCAGCTGACCTCTTCCCAAACATTTTCTCTGAAGGTGAACAAGTATTTCTTGGTAGGAATAAAACGTGTCAGTTTGCCCCAACAGATAAAGTGAAAGATCACATGACTTTGCAAAAAGAACCCAACAAATGACTTCATATATTAAAAAAAAAAAAACAAAAACAAAAAAACAAAAACAAACAAACAAACAAAAAAACACCCAACAAACACAGGAACTCTTGAACATCTGGGAGAAATAGCCACATAGACCCTCCAGTGTCTGAACTGCAATTCAAATAGACATAAAAAACACCATGGCATTTCACTTCAGCGCTATGTTTTTGGGTTGTACTGAAATAGCCAGACTACTAGCACATTTGTGATTGAAAGCAAAGAAGAACTTATCCTAAATATTTTTTAGCACAGCATGAGGGGGGACAACCTGAGAAACTCTCAGAAAGGAGAAGGTTCCACAAAGAGTTTGTAGTGAAGTTCAATAACTTCAGCTGAAGGCATTTTATGGCAGGTTAGAACATTTCAGAGCAACTGTAAATCCACTTCTCCCTGTGATTAATTCTGTCTTCCAATTGCTTCCCATTAACATCTGCTTTTTGCCTCAGTTTTCCAATCTTCACAAAATGCTGCCCAAAGTAGTTCAGCCTGGGATAGACAAGCCCCACGCATGAAGCCTGGTTTGCCTGCATGCCTTGCCCACTCCACAGCCACTTCCATATGACAACATTAGCATGCATCAAATTATGACTGGCCTTGCTGTTGTGGCTAACATTGCTCCTCAAAACATCCAAAACAGGAAGGCTTCACCACATGCTATACCAGCATGTGTTCTCTCTTTGGGAACAGATATTTCCTGCTGTGCCAGTGTGATAGTCCAGTACCCAAGCTATAAATCAAACCTCCTTGCTTGGTCCAGTATCAAGGGACTCTTGAGTCCTGATTCAGCCATGCTAGCAGAACATTTTATTGCAGGACACACAGCTGAGAGCATATTCAATCACATTGAGAAGTCCTTGCAAAAACTGCCATGGAACTCAGAGCCTACTGGTCAGCAAAAAGATCCATTTCCACTGCTGCTGGTGTGCTCACCTCTCACAAGCATTAAGGCTGCTCACGTCTGGATTCTATTTAATACTATAAAAGACATGTCAGAGCTCTGGCTGCCATTTCAGCATGCAGCAACTGTATGTATACTAGTGAACGAAAAGTGCCAGAGAGGATTCTTCAGCGCTGGACCTGGTGGTAAACTCAAGGGAACATTCACCTCACAGTGGAATGGCCGCTTTCCAGACTGAGGTCAGCATATCCCCTGGTCTTGCCCAGCCTATATCATTTGCTCAAAAGAAGCTTACCCCAGCAGAAATATTGTGAGGGCCTTCACACATCCAGGATGGGGGACACATAGTCTGTGTTATGCACTGGAGGAGGAGTCTTTGAGCTCCATAAACTGCTCCATAGAGAAGCCCAGAAGAGACCATGAGCACACTAAAAAGCTTTACATGCAGAAGACAACAAGTAGGTAATGGCGCCATTCCTGTGCCCACCCAGAACTGCTGTCAGCTTCCAGATGTGACATCAGAGGGCTGTTCTAACTCAGGTTCCTGGCTGTTTTCCCCCACTTCATCACAGCTTCTGCATCTACACCAGCTTTACCTAATCACCAGCACACCAGAACACTGGAAGTCAGATGTTATCCCAAATCTCTTCTGTAATAAACCTTGAAATGCACCCCCCTAAAAGGCCCAGAGATTTAAATTATTTTAGTATAAATACTTCTGGAGACAGAGAAATATGAGGGGCAGATAAAAGCAACAATCAACTTGTGAACACTGGTGTCACATTCCATAAGGGGTAACCAGATTCTTGTTGGTCCTTTACAGCTGGAGAGGGGAAAGGAGGAGAAATAAAGGGTTTGGCACTGGAGATGGTAGTAATGTGGCAAGAGGAAGACAAAGGACAAGAGACAGGACTGGATGAGCAAAATGTACTCTTAATAAGCTTCCTTTCTCTCTCCTGTTTAATTTCCCCTCTGCGAAGTTGTGGGGACACCTGCTCCTGGACCCGTATCTTTTTAAGGAGGATCTGTTCTACCTCCTTTGGTAAATGTAAAAGGAAAACTGGCTTCAACAGATGAAGGCTGAGTTGGACTACCCGATGATAAGAAATTGGTTGAAAGATCACAGTCAGAGGGTGGTGATTAATGTTCAGGTGGAGGCTGGTAATGAGCGGCGTTCCCCAGGGCTCTGTCTTGGGACCGGTGCTCTTTAACATCTTTATCAGTGACACTGATGATGGAATCAAGTGCACCCTCAGAAAGTTTGCTGATGACACCAAGCTGAGTGGTGTGGTCGACACAGTGGAAGGAAGGAAGGGATGCCATTCAGAGGGACCTCAACAGGCTTGAAAGGTGGGCCCAGGTGAACCTGATGAGGTTCAATGCGGCAAAGTGCAGAGTTCTGCACTTGGGCCGGAGGAATCCCAGGCATCCATACAGACTGGAAGAAGCAGTCCTTGAGAGCAGCCCTGCAGAGAAGGACCTGGGGGTCCTGACGAAAAACTTAACATGAGCCAGCAGTGTGCTCTTGCAGCTCGGAAAGCAAACTGTATCCTGGGCTCCATCAGAAAAAGAGTGGCCAGCAGGGACAGGGAGGTGATTTTCCCCCTCTACTCTGCTTTTGTGAGACCCCATCTGCAGTACTGTGTCCAAGTCTGAAGCCCCCAGGACATGAAAGACAGAGAGCTGTTGGAGAGGGTCCAGAGGAGAGCTACAAAGATTATCAGAGGGCTGCAGCACCTCCCCTACAAAGACAGGCTGAGGGAGCTGGGCTGGATTCAGCCTGGAGAAAAGAAGGCTGCAGGGTGACCTCATTGCAGCCTTTCAGGACCTAAAGGGAGCCTACAAACAGGAGGGGAATCTTCGAAAGGGTAGATAACAGCAAGACAAGGGGAAATGGTTTTAAGTTGAAGGAGGGAAGATTCAGGTCAGATGCCAGGGGGAAGTTCTTTACAGAAAAAGTGGAGAGGTGCTGGAACAGCTGCCCAGAGAGGCTGTGGATAACCCGTCCATCCCTGTAGGTGCTCAGATGGACGGGGCCCTGGGCAGCCTGGTCTAGTATTACATGTGGAGGTTAGCAGCCCTGCATGTGGCAGGGAAGTTGGAGATTCATGATCCTTGAGGTCCCTTCCAACCCAAGCCACTCTGTGATTCTGTGATCCGTTCCTCCTCATGGATTTCAGAAAGTGCTATAAGTATTGGGTCAAAGACCCCTTGGTGCCTGTGGTCAACTTCCCTTGGCAAAGCTGCCTTCACCTAAATTATGGTGTAGTATCCCATTCATCTTACCATTGGTTTGTGTCCAAGACCCAGTAATGGTGATGCAAGAGCTGCTCTCCAAAGCCATTTCTTCTCACTTGACCCAAAGCATGTCCTGGTTGAGGAACCAGGCGACTCCCATCAGTGTCAAGAAGGGGATTAGGCACACACATGGGGCTTGCTGGAGAACTGCCCCAGAGAAAAGGATGCCAACATGATGGGACCTTGAGCACCCCACCTAACGGGAAACATTCCCCACTCTCCTCTCAAGCTGTGAATTTAACAGTACAGGCCCTCAGTGTCAGCATCTACAAGCTGTCTCGGAGATCTTTCCATGCCTACTCCAAACAGCGATGTTACCAACTTCAGTAACACTCTGTGCCAATTTCCAAATATAGATCACACGACAGTGGGGACAGATGTGTCCTGAAATTCCCATTCTCACACTTCCCTCTCTCCAGCCAGCACTGCAAGACATGAGAACACAGCCTTGCTGTCTGCCCTTTGGTGTCACTTCATCCAGGTAAGGACTATGAACAGTGCAATTCTGAGGAGTCTGTCACCACTGGGCCCCTTTCATTATAAGTAGTCACAATGTATTTACATATATTTGCTGTGCTTCAAAAGAAAATTAAAATCCTATGAATGAGCAAATAAATATAAAGCTGTAATATCCCATCTAAACCATCACTTTTTGTCTGGCAATTATTTCTCCTGGAGGGAAGAAAATGAACAAAACCTCTTTCAACCCAAGAAGCAAATTCCCCCAGCAGAGCTTAGCACAAAGAAAACTTCGTGCTCTGAGAATATCTGAGATTGGTAAAAATTGCAGCGGTGTTCGGGCTGCATGGCTCGCTCTATATCCCACCTCTGGTCTGTGTAAGATCATACCTGCCGAGTGACATTTGCTTGTTTATTGTGTGGAGTGCTTCAGTGGGTACAACCTTCACAAGCTCAGTATTGCCAGCCAGCTGGCTCTAAGCATCTCATTTAAGACTTGACATTGCTTTACAGACCTGTCTTCACAGGCTGTAAAGTTGCAGAAGGTGTTTGGGGTTGTTGGGGGGTGGATGCTGAAGAGTAGCGCTGTCACCAAGGTAAAGTTACAGTTCTATAGACAGTCGTTAAGCCCATACCTACATATGGAGCCTGGAAGGACGATGCTGGCAGAAAGATCAACAAGAGGTGCCTAGGTTTTTGAAAAAGTATGCCTGTAGTTCATGAGAATCTAAACTTGCAAATTTAAAAGGCAGAGGAAGATTATATTGTTTGAGATGACAATAAAGTGATATCATGGTCAAAATCTACCAGCAAAACTGACAACCAAAAACCTGAATGATATGCAAGACCAATGCTACAGGTTTTAAGGCTGATGTTTCATTCTTTTTATGTTTCAAAAAGGGCAAGTTGATCTAAGGACAGGAACAGAGCCTTCACTCTCAATTTCCATGCTTTGATTGATTTAAATGAAAACCAGACTGTTGCTTTAATGTTGTGTATGAAACCATAAAATAATTATTAATTTTTCCCATTCCAACAAAACTGGTTAAGATGATTTTAATAACATTTGGGGGGGGGGAAAAAAAACCCAAACCAAACAGCTTTCAGAACACAGAATTATCCAGCATACAAAAGCCAACCACAGTGATATTTTTGAAGCAATGCACAAAGACACAAAAATCATACAGTTTCCACTGAAAAACTCAGTACAGCTGCACTGGGAACACCACTGAAGTAAGCGTCCTCTGGAGATTCCATCACATCAAAGCAAGGGATATGTATACTTTATTTGCTGTTTCTCCAGACACTGACAGCAGAGTGGATTACTTATCTTTCACACCCCATAAATACAGCCAGGGTCTTTTATCTGCTGTTCCAGGACTTTACTGTCACCTCGCTGCCTCACTCACACTGTGGGAAGGAGAGGACCTAGAGATCCCCTTTGGCCAACATGAGGAGAGCTTTCAGCTGGCAAGCAGGGAGTACAGGCACTGAACCACACAGGAGTTCAGCACTAAGCCTCACCAGCAAGCAGAGGAAGGGTTGAAAAGTGCACCTTAATCTGCAGAAGAAAGGAAACACCTGAACCATTCACCAGCAGGGACTCTGGTGAGGACTGGACTCACAACTGCACTTTTGAGCAAGCAGAGATAGGAAAGGAACAACGGGAGGCCAAAGGATTCAGGTCAGTTCAAAGTTTTGCGCACCTGTTGCTGTAGGTCACAGCTGCTGAGAATAGGGCAAACCACAGGGAAAAGAAGATCGTAAAATGTAAGATGCAGTTAAAAAAATGTTTTGGAATGTTTTACTATTCCTAATTCAGTACTTCTAAAAGCCAGCGTGTTCTTTTCTCCCCATGAAGTCCCCACGTGGTTCCAGAGCTCAGCTGGGATACTTGTACTGAGCTCTTGTGGGATAAGTGCACAGGGAAGTGCAGACAAACTTTGGTACATCTTTAGCTTTAGTGGGAATGCTTTTAGAGCCTATGTTCAGCTTTACGACCTTCCAGGACTACCAGACTACCTTCCAGGACGACTCCCAGTTCAGTGTCACCCCTGCTCCACGTAGGCCTGCTTTCTGCACTTCCTTAAGCCATTCGTAGCAAGCAGGTCAGACAATGAGAAATGGAAACAGCCTGACAGCTAATGTGATTTGTGTAATGGGATGAAACAGCCTCCAGTATCCATCCTCAGGGATCACAGGAGGAAGGTTGCCCTTTATCCCCCTCTGTTTGAGTTTCAGCAACAAAAATTTTGGATGAAGCTTTGTCAGCAAATGTGCCTCGGCACCCATTCCCACTTCGAAGTATTTGCCAAGAAAATGTTCCCTGCTCTCCTGAAAGGTCAACATCAGGGATGGATAACAAGATGCCTCTACACCCAGGAGGAACCTGGCCATCTTTTCCAAATTTGGTAGGCACTGAATGTTTTGCAGCAGATGAATTAAGACTTTTTACATCACAAGGACCCCTGGGATATCCTAATGCTGCTCAACTTGCTCCTTGAGTAGAAAGGCTTTCCATTCTTCCACACATTATTTCTGTAGTCATACACTCTTCTCACTTCAATAAGCTTGCAATTGATGCTATCCTCATAAGGTTTTGTTATTTTCTCAGATTGCCTTGGTCAAGACTTTATTTGCAGTATCTGACTTACTGATATGCTGACACAAATTCATCAATTAGATGCCATCAGTGACACAAATATCTTTAAGTGGCTCGTGGTCATCTGTAGTAAAAAAAAGTTTAAAAGGAACTCTGTGGTTAAACGGTAACACATATTTTTAGCCCGGTACCACGTTAATAGATTTTATAGCAGCATAGGCAGCTGAGCTGAAGTACATGGAGACACCGCTTATTTTCACAGCTGGTGAAGTGCTGCTGCTATTGCTCTGTTTGGAACATAAATTATTCAGAGTGGTATATTACCTGAAGCCTTCCATGAAGGATGTTTTTCCTAAGAAGGCTTGTTGAGCTTGTACATGGATTTCCTGAGCATGAAGCTGTTGCTCCAAGGTGTCTAGTCACATGGCAAAAAAGGAGAGAAGACCCAGGCAGTCCCCTGCTGCATGGCCGTTAGAGCTGACACCACGCCATGACGCTGGCTCTCTGCCACTACCATGACCATTTCAAGATGCAGACTGTTCCTGCTTCTGTGTTTGCGTAGGAGGGAGCAGAGGTTATGAGAACGAGTGGGCTTTTAAGCTCAGCTTCCTTATCAAACTGCTTGAGATTTTAAAACACGCAGCAGAACAGTTAAACATAACTGCGCCTCTATTTGCATTTAAATACTCACTGAACACTTCTATATGGTTTGCCTTTTCTTGTTAGGCTCTGTTTGAATACTGCTGTTTGAATGCAATGCAGTGCTTGGTCTTGTGTGCATGTCCAGCGTCAGGATAACTTAAATAATTATTTCAAATCATTGTAGTCCTGATTGACTTGACAGAAAGCCACTTTATCTAAAGTTTATGGCACGTGAAGGAAACTCAAATGCATATTTAGAGAATGACAATTAAGCAGAAAGCAAAAAAGCAGGAAAAAAAAGCAGATTTTTATGAGGTTTCTAATGATTCTGAGAAGAGCTAAGCTTCAATATATGTCCCCTAGCTGCACTAACCAAGATGACTACCAATCCAACAATTATTAAACTAAAATCTTCATCAATTTGCACAATAAACATTCACATTTATTTCCTACAACACTGTACATTGCATTTGAGTCAACTGTTGCTGTAAGGAGTGAAACAGAACATTTTTAGGCAGCTGGTAACAGGGTACAAGGCCATGAGTGCAGCCTCAGACATGATCCCCATGTTACAAAGAACAGGATATGAAATTCATAAGCAAGTAAAACTGAAGGAGGAGACAAGAACTGAGTATCACGGTCTGAGCTCTCCTTAAAATCACATCACCGCCCACTCGGGGAATGAAAGCAGTTCTGTCACGGTTTGAGATGCAAACCTTTTAGCTGGGAAGCTTCTGTGCCCTAAGATGAGCCGGAAAAGAAGAGGACTTGTGCGGCTGAACAAGGAACTTTTTCTGAGATTCTGGGAGAAAATGAATTTATGCCCTGGGGAAGAAGGGACAGGCAACTCAGGGAGAGCACAAGGAAATTGCTAGGCTATGAAGGGAGAAAATTGGAAAGGCTAAAGCCCAGCATTAGCTCATCTTGGCCATTGTGATTAAGGACAACAAAAAATGTTTTTACAAATAAACTAATGGTAAGATGGGATTCACCCAAGGGTGATGAGGGATCTGGTGGATGCGATTGCCAATAAGCCTTCCACTGCCTATCAGTGGTCCTGGTCAACACGAGAGGTCCTAAATGACCAGAAATTTGCCAATGTGATGAACTAGGGAACTACAGGCCTGTCACCCCAACCACGGTGCCAGAGAAGGTTATGGAACAGATAATCTTGAGGGAGATCTCACGGCAGGACAACTGGGGGATCAGACCCAGACAGCACGGGTTCATGAATGGCAGGTCCTACTTGACCAACCTCATCTCCTGTGATCGAGTGACCCGCCTGGCAGATGAGGGAAAGGTTGTTGATGTGATGTATCTGGACTTCAGCAAAGCCTTCAATTACTGTCTCCCACAGTATCTTCCTTAAGAAGCTGGCATCATGTGGTTTGGACAGGTACACTCTTTGCTGGGCAAAGAACTGGATGGAAGGCTGGGCCCAGAAGGTGGTGGTGAATGGAGTTAAATCCAGATGATGACTGGTAACGATTGGTGATCCGCAGGTGTTAGTACTGGGCCTGTCTTGATTAATTTCTTTACTGATGACCTGGATGAAGGGATTGAGTGCACTCTCAGTAAGCGTGTAGATGGTAGGAAGGCATCAGAGGGATCTGGACAGGCCAGTTCACAGGGCTGAGGCCAAGAAGATGAAATTCAACAAGACCGAGTGCTGGGTCCTGCTCTTTGGCCACAACAACTCCAGGCAACATTACAGGCTTGGGGCAAAGTGGCTAGCAAGCTACACAGAGGAAAAGATCTGGTGGTGTTAGTTGACATTCAGCTGAATGTGAGCCCAGGTAGCCAAGAAGGCCAATGGCATCCTGGCTTGTATCAGAAATAGTGCAGTCAGCAGGACCAGGGAGGTGATCATCCCCTATACTCAGCTCTAGTGAGATACCTTGAATATTGTATTGAGTTTTAGGACCTCACTGCAAGAGGACATTTTGACGTTGGAGTGTGTCCAGAGAAGGACAAAAAATCTGGTGAAGGGTCTGGAGCACAGGCCTTATGAGAAACGGCTGAGGGAACTGGGATTGTTCAGTCTGGAAAAAAAGAGGCTTGGAGGAAATCTCATAGCTCTCTACAACCAACTGAAATGAGGCTGTGGTGACAGGACATAAGGCACTGGCCTCAAGTTGTGCTATTGGAGGTTCAGGTTGGATATTAGAAAGAATTTCTTTTCCAAAAGATTGGATAGGCACTGGAACAGGTTAGCCAGGGAAGTGATGGAGTCACCATCCCTGAAGGTGTAAGGCTAGATGTAGTACCTGGGACACAGTTACTGGGCAATATTGGTTGGTAGGTGGACAGTTAGACTAGATGAACTTAGAGGTCTTTTCTAACCTTAATGATTCTATGCTTCTTCCAGATTTTCTGGGGAAGGAAAAGAAATAAAAACCTGTATGGAGCCAGGAAGACATACTGACTCCTTCCAAAAAAGAACCTGAGTACTAAGGATTGGCCAAGAGATTTGGGATTTATTTGGAAATTTGGTACACCTGCAAACAGTTCCAAGAAATTATGTAATAAAGACGAATAAAATACATGCAATACACATATACTGTATGTCTGTATATAATACATATTATCTACATATATTTCACAAATGCACGCTGCATTGTAGGCATCTGCAGATAATAACACAGAATGTATAAGCTATGCTATCACATTACTCTCATTAGCACTACTGCAAACACGCTTTTCATACTATAAGCAGAGCAATACTTACTAAAAAATAAATTAAGCTCATTGCCACATCTCCTCTGGATTAATTCACAAACTAATCTACAAATTAATTCAGGTTCATCTTCCTGCTGTCTCTTATTATTAGTGAGGACTTAACATAAGTTTCTTCCTACATAAGTTACCAACTGTTACATAGAGTTCTTTTATTCTCTGGCACCAAAACGTAAAAGCTCATTACTTACATAATTTTAATCATAAAACATTTACCAAATTATTTATGCACCCGCTGTACACTGCATTGAGCTGCACGATGAAGTGAGAAGATTTATTTTCTTGGAATATGACACTAGTTGCCAAAACAGCATTAAAAGCTTTTCATGGCAACAAGGAAAAATGCTGTCTTACTTCCCTGTGTAATGACTCGGATGGAATAAATACACGAATTTTGCCCAGTGCTTGTGGCTGCTGCACTGCAGCTCCTCACTGACTGCGGCAGATGAACCTAATGGCACGCCAAGCTTTGCACAGCTATCAGAGGCTTGCCTTCAAGATCTTAGCTCAGATCCAGTCCTTGCCATGTCTTCCTATTGCTAAACTAAGTCAATACCTGCAGCACAATATCAGACGGTGGTAATGCGCACTCACAGGATCAAAACGCAGCTTCACAATAATGGGTAACAAAGATATTTCAATTTAAATAAGTAATGGAGAAAATGCTTTCAGGCATTAATTATTGAGGAAGCCACTAGAAATCTTTGCCTATCAGAAAAAACTAACTTCTTTTGCTTTCCTTTTCAAGCATACAAGCATTCTTAGTTTATTATCAGGAAGAAGTAAAAGCGAAGGGTATAAGGTAGAGTTGTTGATAATAATATTAAATGTATTTTATAAATTAAAAGGGATTGCAATCCCTTCAGAAAGCTACTGGTAAGAAGCAGAGGAAAGGCACAGGTACAGAGAAATTCCAGTATCAAGTTCCTAGAAAATTAATGACAAATCACACAAATATTTTGTAGAAAATACAGACTAAACTATATTTAGATAGTCTGTCATTTTCTACTCTTGGAATAAATCTTCTCATCATGAGCTTAAATATAGGAATATATTCAACTGTAGTTTAAACTCCCAATGAGGCTTTCAAGTTGTTGTTTTCAAAGGCATACAAATAATTTTAGAGGATGGGCTCATATTCCACTAGGAGAGGAATGAGAGGACTGTGCTCATCTTGTCAACATGCCTATCTATAAAATAAGTACCAGGAAAACACAAGAGGTATCAGAAGAAAGACAGTAGAGCACAAGGCAGAAAGTGTGAAAGATTCAGGAAGATGCTGCAAGGCAAAGATGCTTGTTTCTCACCTTGTGACCAAGAAAACAAACGGCTGCTAAACATAACCTGTCACAAAAAAGCATGTATAAAGGCAACACCCAGAGCAGGGCATCTGCTACCCAGCACTAGCAATTTTCTGATTGCCAGAGCTTTGCCTAATCACATCCTATTGCTACCACGAAGCCTTTAATTCACCCCAAATTCTTATTAAATGCAACCAGTGAACCTGTCTACCTGCTTTACTGTTATTATAGGTGCTGTAAGGAAACAAAACCATAATGTTTATGCTTTCAGGAAGAAAATATCTTTTTTCTGAAAAACAAGTTTTATTATTACAAAAGATGCTATGGGAAAAGTTTATTATTACAAGCTGTCAACACTAATAATTAGCTCAACAGAATTTAAGACACAAAGTTTCAAGAATCTGTATCCTGAGATTAAGCTACATAATACTAGAACATCACATACTAGAATGTCACTTAATACTTAACATCACTTACACACTTTCTAATCATGCCATGAAAACTGGTATATAACATAAAGCTTATTATTTACAATACTGCGTAAAAAACGTTAAAAAAAAATCCAATCCATTTGTTTTCATTTCAGAAACATTCAAGCAACTTTGAAAGATGACACACATCCAATTGCAGGAAAGGAAGATTCCACAGGACAATGGGAAATGCCAAGGCTTCCCAACCATCTGTTTGTCAGACATCTCCTGCACTACCATTCCACATCTTTCAGAACCCATTTCTCATGCCTTCTTTAAAACCTTCCCCAGATAAACCATTTTCTTTTAATCTCACACCAAGTTCTAGTGCCTTTAGTATTACCCACCAGAAGTGTGGAATGCACACTAATCCCCACCACACAGGCAAAAAGTCTCAGGATATGAAATGCTACTTCAAGCTGCATGTGCTACATGTGAGGTTTACATTTACTTTTTTTTTCTTTAATCACATACACAGTGTCTGTATATTTCTTTTTTGTTTTTGTTTTGTTCCTATTTTTTTTCCTGCAACTCAATTAGTTATAGATTTCATGGGGCTTTCCTCCCAGTTTTAATACAGCAAAGACTGAAAAACTGAAACAGTTTTACACTTTACTATTTTTAGAAGCATATTTGAATTCATATGTGCATATTTTTATAACTACGAGGATGAGAGAGCAGAGGAAAACATACTTTCTGATATATTTCAGCACAGCAAATGTAAGAATCTAATGCAGGGGGTGGAAAGGGCGAGGAAGGGGAGAGGAGGGAATAAACTGTACTTGAATAAAGAAACGCAAGGGAAAGAAGTAAAAGAGATGAGAATTAAAGCACCAAGCAGTACGTACAGGGGGACAAGATGTATTTACAAGGCAAAAGGGAAGGAAGAAAAGATGATGTAAAACATGGCAGAGATAACAGATTTATGAAGTAAAAAGTTTAAGGATGGTCACTTTTCAAAAAAGTAAAGGACGTATCGAGAAAAATGTGAATTGGGAAAGAGAACTAAAATAAGGCAGAGGTAGGTCAGAGTGAAGGCTCACAACTAAGATTAACAGATACTTTTGTGCATTTCCATAGCGGATGTTCTGTCTCCCTAAATTTAGACAAGACAATGAGATGAGTTCTTTTACTGAATTGGCAGGGTACTTCATTTTCGATTATGTGGTTTAATAATTAAAGTTGCCTTGGCTGGTACTGTATGTCTGAAAGCCTCTACGACATTCTGTTACCTTCACTCTGGGTGCTGTGGTTATTGGAGATACTGCTTAAGATAAGACCATTTTTTCTACTTTCTCATTCATCTGTGAAATATTTTGCAGCAGAAACCAGTTTCGGGGTCCCTGCACTTTCTTCAGGTCCGGATCACAGCCACGCAAAGAGGTAGGCCCTTCTGTTCTTCAAGTTTTCTTACTAACATTTAAACAAATATTTGATATTGATGTAAAAGACACAAAAACATGCTGATGGAATAAATCCAGTTTGATGGATACTACTGAGACTGTTACTGACAGGAGTCCATCCAAATGTAGACGTACGTCTACATGAGGTTTACAGATGTCACTGTGAATTCCTTAAGAAAAAAGACAATCAATTTATTTGTTTCTGCATTTAACTTAAACCAGTACTCTTTGTCTGTAATTGCAGAACACTAGATATCATGCTCACAGTGGACCACTGCATCCCACGCTGCTACTGCTAGCACAGGTGTACCCGGAAAGCACTGATCTGCGTCCCCAGATGTGTTATGCCGACAGCTTTTGACTACACACATTGCTACATGCTAGATCTGTATTTAAAGCTCAAGTGGGAAGCAAGCTCACAGGGTTTTACCCTGAATGCCCATCGTATTGGCCAGAGGTTAGCAGACCAACTAAGGGTTACAATTGGTAATGCCTGAATTTCAGTAGTGTTGCTACCCACAGCTTGCAGGTTTCTTAGAAAGTTTATGTTAGTAAGCAGAGACATATAATTTACTACTGTCTATAGCTTAACATTTGATAATAAAATATAAATTAAAGAGAAAAAAAATGGTCTTCTCCCCATCTCTGAAAATCATGGCAAGCCTCAGGCTCTAGGACACACTGTCCAAACTTAAAAATCTGTTTGAAGACTTCCACTGTAAATGATCAGAAGAGTTGTCTAGAGAATTCTTTTCTTCTCCCAACGAATATGAGCTGTGATTATTCTTCTAAAGCACAAAGCCATGCTAGAACAGATCTCTCTCATAAAGTAATTAAAATTAAATTAAAATTAAAAAAAAGATTGTATTCTGTAATTGAATCACTACTAATCACAAACATTACTACTAATCACAAACAGGTTTTGACTTCATTCTACATTTGCATAAAATAACAAGAAATGTTAAGACAATAAACGAATAGGCCTGCACAATCAGTCAGGCTCATCAGCAGATACGATGGTAAAATACACTAAAAATGTAATGAATGCAGGAATATTCAATTATATTATTGCCCAAAGACAGGAAAAAAAAAAGTGAGAGATCTTTTATCAGACAAGGATGCATAAGAAAATAGAAATGCAGTACTGAGAGAGCTCTTATTATTTATAAAGACATGTATAAAAACACCGGAAGCTAGAGTAGCAAGTAGGAGGAAATTATGTACAACACCTATCAGATGGATACCGAAATGCTGCGTCCAATTTTGGTCTTAAGAAGGATTCAAAGGAATAAGATGTCTGAGAGGTGGGATAGTTAAAGAGGAGCTGCGCAAACTGCCTTCTGACCCCAATCTGCATGTTTCAGTGAGTTGAAAGCCGTTTTGTGCTTAGTCACTTTATTTTACCCCACTCCTCCTTGTAGCTGGGAAGAAATTACACGACAGCGAGCATTTGAACGTTAGCTTTTCTTCCAAAGGTTGGGTTGATTCATGCACCGGTAGCATGCAGACCATACTCTCACAAGGACTGGGGACCCAGAGGAAGAACATGAAGGAATTTTCTGCACCTTTAGAAAGCAGATCTGAAGGAGAAAGTGCTGCTCCCTCTGCCCTTTGCCCTACTGGATATCAGTCTGTACAGCTTACATTAGATAATACGAAACTATGACTTCCCCATTCAAAACAAGTGACCTAGTATCTCAGCTAGAAAAGGGATGCTCTATTGTATCTCTCAATTACTCTTGCTTTTCATTCTGTACATGGTTTGACAGAGGAAACACAGTACTCCATTTCTGATAAGACACAAGGCTATAAGGATGAAATAGCCGTTATTATTTACCAAACAGCTGGCCAGAGCAGTTACCAAACAGACTCTTTTAAAAGAAGAGTGACTGTCTGGTGTTAGTGATTAATTTCTAAGGAATGGGAATGGCAAGGAAGTTCCTATTTTAGCAGTGGAGTCCTAGTGAAAAATAGAATTCATAGAAGATAGAGGAAAAAAAGAGGGCAAAAAATACCCAAGCACTGAGCCAAACAGCCCATTCAACTTACTGCCTGCAACTTGGCTAAGGGGAAGACAGAGCTTGCATGCATTGAGTCCCAAAAGCAGGATGCCAACCTCTGCTCCCACATCAGCCCTCAGCACACAGGCATGCAAAAAGCACTGGTAGTGCAGCCATTTGCTGCAAGTGGGCTGAATGTCAGCCAAAGGAGCGCCGAGACATGCAGGGCAACATCACTTCCAGCTCTCAGGCACCAATGGTTGCACAGAAAGGTTTTAGGGAACTGATGTTGCTGTGTAAAACATTATATTGTTAGTAGCATCACTAAACTTCACTATGCCCAGCTCCTAGGTCAGGCTTCAACAATGAGGGTAGAGCTGAGTCTGTTTGCTTTCTGACCTTTTTTTTCACACTTTATAACTGTGCCCACTGACTAAAAAAAAGCTTAAAATCAATTTAAATGTGGTCAAAGGAGCTTAGAATATAAGGTGACTCTTTAACTCCAGATTTAAAAAACACAAACCAAAACCAAACCCACTATATGCTGCAGAATAAAAACCTGATATACTGCTGTAACCACATGAAAAAATACACTCCTGACTGCTGCAAAAACACTATTTCTGTCTGACTAGCTTCCTGGCACAATCAAAGCTTTCTACCAACGTATTGCCAAAGAAAAAACTCTTGAAGCTCCATTGTAACAGACAAGCTCAAGTCAGGAAAAGATAAAGAATTATAACAATTATGGCAGCAGATTAAAAACTCTTCTGTGGAGCAGAATTACATTAAAAAAAAAAAAAACACAAAAAAACAAAAAAACAAAGGATTGAGCACTACAAAACTGGGACCAAATATCTTTAATTCACAGCAGAAACCCCCCCAACGCCACAGGAAACCTGCCCCTGCTGAAGTGTTTAGAGAAAAGTTATTTAGGTTGCATAGAACTGCAGCGATAAGCACTGCTTTGTTGGAAAAGATGATACCGATCATTTCCTGGATAACATTCCACTCTACCCTTTTATTCTGTGTTGTATCACTGTTAATTCATACCCAATAACGGAAAAAGCCTGAAAAGGTCCAAAATCAACACACTGAAAGCGGAATAAAATGGCCACTACATCTTAAAGTTACTGTTCAGAAGGTTCACTCTCCATCACTGGGATGGAAAATTACTTATTTTAGACAAATCTCTTCATTCTGCAGAACTTGAACTTGTCACAAAGGCAGCAGAAACCTGTTGTGTGAGCGGACCAGGATTCCCAGAATATTATTTTGCTTCCTTGGATCAACTTGTGTATGTTTAAATATCATCCAGAATAAACAACTAAACATTATCATATTAACAGTAACTAATAGCAGCCCTTTTCAACTTAAAAATAGACAACCCAAATTAGCAAACTTCACGTGTAAGAATAAAAGATCCAAGAAAATCTTCCTACATTGCAGACCATCCTGCTGGAAAACTACTAGTGTGGTTCGTTGTCCTAGAAGGATCTCTAAACAACTACATACTGAAGGGAAAATCAATTACAGCTCAGTCTGTCTACAAGAAATCAATCCTTCTACCTAACAACCAGCCCAGCTATCTTCAGTTTGGAAAAAGTGCCTAGGTCAGGGTAAGTAACAGGTAACTTCCAACTTCTACGTCACATGCAGAATCCTACAGTCATGCAATGCACACGAGCACTCAGCAGGTCAGACACTGGCCTGAAGAAAACAGTCTGATTTTCAGGGAGACCATTGCTGGTTGCCAGGAAGTGTCCCTTTGATTCTGGCTTTGAACCCTTGACCCTGAGCTAACAGGAGATTTTTTCACTTTACCCACCAGAAGTCGGGAAAAAAAAACCCGAACATCCTGATACAGAAAAAAACTGCCCAATTTCCTGGAAGTAATTCCTTCCCAAAATTGTGTTCTAGATCTTAACAGATGGTCTGCTCTCTAAGCTCACACATAGTGCACCTGTCTCATTAAAACATGTTATTTTAATTAAGTTTCCTACGGCTACAAAGTTGAACAAGTGTATCATACTCCACAAGTAGAAGTTAACTTTGCCATCATATCTAGTGGCTTGGCCTACTACATTGTCCCTGCCCACCCTTGCTGTGTTGTGATTTATAAGAAGGGCAGTAAAGAGCAAAACCCTGTCCCTGCATCTGGAATACATCTAGCACTCCAGGTCCCAGTCTAATAAGAGACTTTGTATACTATCAAACAAAAAGTAAAGCCACCTCAGTGCTCAAATTACATGATGGCCATAAAGGATACGTGACAATGCTGTTTACCAACAACGGTTCTGCAGAGAACATCAGGCACTGACTGACTTCTGCATTAAGAGCTTTGATTTCAAATGGGGGTTGTGGATGCCCCATCCCTGGAGGCATTCAAGGCCAGGCTGGATGTGGCTCTGGGCAGCCTGGTCTGGTGGTTGGCAATCCTGCACATAGCAGAGGGTTGGAACTGGATGAGCACTGTCGTCCTTTTCAAGCCAGGCCATTCTGTGATTCTATAAATAAATTCATTTGAGTGAGATCACTTGTACATCCCTGGACTGAAACAAGAAAGACTGAATAGCAGCTCACGTAACCAGCTGTGACTTGAAATCACGGACATCCACATGTCCCACAGCACCAAGGAACCACTGCTGTCCATGAAATGAAAAATGACCTTTAAAGCAGACTTCCAGGTCTGAGATTTGATATAGCTTTGGCTCAAATCTGCTGCCTCATTCACAAAGAATAGTGTCTACAATATTTATTTCTAAGATTAAATACTAGCCTCATTAAAGTCACTGGAAATTTCACCAGTGGCTTCAGAACCCATGTTTTACCCAAAATGAACCAGGCAATCACCTATTCTGCAGAAAAACAGAGGTTGCTGGAATGACACTTCATGACAGTAATTCATCAGATGCTGATAAAACAGATCAAAACAGACAAAGGCTGATAAATACAAAAATGACATTAATATTTTTCTACCAAAGTGATTCAGAGCATGCATGTACTTATCTTCAACAGCACTGCACACTGACTTCTTCAGTCTGCCTATCCCAAGCAGGAATGTTCCCAGCACACAGCCTCCCATCTTCTTCCAGCCCTCATTTCAGCATGAACACCATGTGTCTAGGTCTAATCCCACAGCTCTTTGTCCAGAGGCAAACAGGATCCTTTCCCAGTCATTTATGTTAACTTCAAAAGAACTTATCTGTCTCTAGGGAAACTGTGGGAAGAAGGCTGCATCATCGCACCAGCGACTCCAGCCACAGCCTTAATGCTATTGCAAAGCTGCAGAAGAAACTTTTGCCTCCGGGTTTAAGTAGTGCAAGCAATCTGCTCTGAGGAGGACAGAGGCAGGATGCTGAAGACTGTTGGAACAGATAGCATCTCTAGACACAGGTAATTTTATTTTTTTCTAGGTGGGTTACCCTTGTAGTTCCTGCAATTGTCATCTGTGCTTAAGCAAATGTCCCCACTGCTAACTTCCTTTTGTAGTTGGCCTTCTCAAAAATATTTTAAGGGAATACTGGACAATTTTGTGACAATAAAACCAGCCATATAAAAGATATATTAACATTGAAGTTTATTCAGTGTAGTAACTACAGAACTGGCACACGCAACAAGTCCTG